ACAATCTGAGGACGCCCTTTACTTTTTTAAACAGCCACGCCATGCACTCCCAGAGATCTTTGATTAGGCTACACTGAGATTATGACACAATATAATGATGTTAAAATTAAACACTTTGATCTTTACATAACCTATGATCTGAAATGAATCAATCAATAATAGCTACTATTAGTTTACATCCTGACTCTTCAAATAGGTTATAAACACCCTGTGGCAGACTACCTCACACATGTATTCATCTTAATCATTTTCAAACAAGATTCTAACCAGAACTGCTCACAAATGAAGGGTTACCATTAAAAATGGGCATGAAGCTTTTTTCTATTGAGTATAAAGGACAAACTCTCACAAGATGGTCTGTGAATAAAGAAAAACCACAGCAAGCACGGTGGCTCACACCTGTAATCCCAGCACTTTGGGAGGCCGAGGCGGGTGGATCAGCTGAGGTCAGGAGTTCAAGATCAGCCTGAGCAACATGGAGAAACCCCGTCTCTACTAAAAATGCAAAATTAGCCGAGCATAGTGGTGCATGCCTGTAATCCCAGCTACTTGGGAGGCTGAGACAGGAGAATCGCTTGAACCTGTGAGGCGGAGGTTGTGGTGAGCCAAGATCACTGCACTCCAGCCTGGGTGACAAGAGCTAAAAACTCCACCTCAAAAGAATAAACAAACAAACAAAACTGGAATATGATAGGTCAAAAAAAAAAAAAGACCAGCCTGGGCAACATAGTGAAATCCCATCTCTACAAAAAATTTAAAAATTAGGTGTGGCAGCACACCTGTAGTCCTCTCAGGAGGCTGAGGTGGGAGGATCCCTTGAGCCCAGGAGTTCAAGGCTGCAGTGAACCATGACTGACCCACTGCACTTCAGCCTGGGTGACAGTGACACTCTCAAAAAATAAAAAGGTCTTTTTAAAAAAAGAAAGAAAAACCAACACTTTTATTCTCTCTCAACTCACTCTCAGTACTTTACTTACAACACGATGTGCATTTTTTTTCCCACACATCAATTCTCTGGTAGGTGAATCTCAACTCTTGACTTTACCTATCTGAAGGTTAAGGGCTCAGTCCCGTGACTGCCCTTCATTCAGACCCAATCACAAGTCCCAGGTTTGACCTGTTATTCTGACCAACCAGTTGTAAACTGGAGGTTCCCACAGCACTCCCCACCGCCCTACACCTTTGGATTCAATCATTTGTTAGAATGGCTTTGGGAAACACCTTACTTACGTTTAACCATTTATTATAAAAGTACTTCTCAGAACAGCTAGATGGGAGACAGACTTGGGGCAGGGACACACGGGCTTCTGTGTCCTCTCAGGGCACACCAGCTCCACATGATCAGTAGCATGGACGCTCAGAATCCTGTAGTTCAGGAATTTTTATGGAGGCTTCATCCTGTGGGCATAATCAATGGTAACTCAATCTGCAGCCTCTCTCCCCGTTCCAAAGGATGGGGTGTGGGGCTGTAAGTTCTAAGCTTCTAATCCTGGGTTGATTTTTCTGGTGACCAGTCCCTGTCCAGGGGCCCACTGAGTCATTGTAGTAGAGCAAAAGCTCCTACCAGCCAGGAAATTACAGGAGACAAAGCTCTGTGCCAGGAACCAGAGACTAACAGCAACAGTTACTTCTTATAGATCGCAATATCAGTCTCCAATGCCTCCTTGGGAAGCATAGAGTAGCGGAGGTACGGTGGGATATCATGTACATGAAGACCAGGTCCCTTGGCACAGTAGGAAAGCTAGACAACCCAGCCCCAGTATGGCCCAGTAAATGCAGTCCAGTCTCAACGGTAGTGAGACCATACCTTGCTCCTGGCTCTGCTCCCAGTCTGGTACATCGCTTCATGGAACTCATAACCTGAGCCTCAGGTGGTTTATATATAAAATAACATTGCTTAAAGACTCTAACAATGGTAACATCCAAAATATATTCAAACAAAAAGGTCCCCACAGAGTTCTAAAAGCAGAAAGATAATGTACTTAACATTTTGAATTGACTTGCCTATAGACAAAACATTTTCATTATTCCAATAACCTTGATAAAACACCTGGAATAGACATGATTTTGAAAACATTATTCCTCCCATTTCCCTTTCTCTTAAACATGGTTTTTTTTTTTTTAAGACAGGGTTTCACCACGCTGGTCAGGCTGGTCTTGAACTCCCAACCTCAGGTGATCCGCCCGCCATGGCCTCCAAAGTGCTTGGATTACAGGCGTGGGCCATGGTGCCCGGCCTTAAACATGGTTTCTAGGGTAGTATGGATTACCTGTGGTAAAGCTAAAATTGTTACTACACACTATTTATGAAAAGAAATGCTTCTTTTGGGCCAGGCATGGTGGCTCATGCCTGTAACCCCAGCACTTTGGGAGGCTGAAGTGGGCAAATCACGAAGTCAGGAATTCAAGAGCAGCCTGACCAACATGGAAAATCCCCATCTCTACTAAAAATACAAAAATTAGCCAGGTGTGGTGGTATGTGCCTGTAATCACAGCTACTCAGGAGGCTGATGCAGGAGAATCGCTTGAACCTGGAAGGTAGTGGTTGCAGTGAGCTGAGGTCACGCCATTGCACTCCAGCCTAGTGACAGAGCAAGACGTCATCTCAAAACATATTTCTTTTGTTGTTAGTCTGTGAAAAGCTGACAATGAGAACTCAGAGCTAGGCTTTCTGGGCTGATTGAGACAGGGTCTTGCTTGTTGCTCAGGCTGGAGTGCTCAGGCTAAGAGCTCACTGCCACCTTGAACTCATGGGTTCAAACGATCCTCCCACCACAGCATCCCAAGTAGCTAGGACTACCAGCATGCACCATATACCATTTTTCTTTTCAATGTGGAGACAAGGTCTCACTATGTTGCCCAGCCTGGCTTTGAACTCCTGTTCTCAAGTAATCCTCCCATTTCAGCCTCCCAAACTGCCAGGATTACAGGCATAAACCACCAAACCTGGTCTTTCTGGACTTTTTAGTGCCCAGCTAGTTATCTGGATTCAACAGCAAAAGGCCAACACTGAATGAAGGACAAGAGCCTGCTGAACTTCCTACACATGCAGAGTGCACTATTTAGAGGAAGCAAGCTATTCTCACATCCCTTTCAGTGCTTTATGCTAGACAAAGACATGAGAACACCTAACAACCCCAACCAGGAGAGGGGCAGTGAGTCTAGAGGCTAGGTCTTAAGAATGAATGAAACAAGTGGGGTTTTGGGATTTTTTGGATTTGAGTTAGTATCTACTCTATAGAAGACATGATGCTAGGTAGGATGCTGCAAAAGTACTTATAGTCCCGGTCAAAAGGCATGTAAAGCCTAGAAACAGATTCTAACACAAAATTTAAGAACCAAATTAGATGAGCCTATTAAATACCACGAACAGGAGCTTCAAAGACAACAGTACAATTAGTCCAAATTAATATATGTTAAAGAAATGCACAGAAAAGGGTAAAAATACAAAAATTAGCTGGGCATAGTGACGCATGCTTGTAGTCCCAGCTACTTGGGAGGCTGAGGCAGGAGAATCGCGTGAACCCAGGAGGAAGAGGCTGCAGTGAGCCGGGACAGCGCCATCGCACTCCAGCCTGGGTGACAGAGTAAGACTCCATCTCAAAAAAATAAAAGTGATTTCTTGTCAAATCACTTTTTTTTTTTTTTCTTCGAGACGGAGTTTTGCTCGTTACCCAGGCTGGAATGCAATGGCGCGATCTCGGCTCACCACAACCTCCGCCTCCTGGGTTCAGGCAATTCTCCTGCCTCAGCCTCCTGAGTAGCTGGGATTACAGGCACGCGCCACCATGCCCAGCTAATTTTTTGTAGTTTTAGTAGAGACGGGGTTTCACCATGTTGACCAGGATGGTCTCGATCTCTTGACCTCGTGATCCACCCGCCTCGGCCTCCCAAAGTGCTGGGATTACAGGCTTGAGCCACCGCGCCTGGCTGTCAAATCACTTTTTAACACAGCTTATCTTTCAGAGAGAAATGGGTAGACTAACAAAAATTCAGTCATGTGCCACATAACATTTCAGTCAATGACGGGCCACATGACAATTATAAGACCATTCCTTTATGCCTAGATAACACAAATACCATTGTGTTACAACTGCCTAGTCAGACCAGTCCCATGCGGCACAGGTTTGTAGCCCAGCAGCAAGACTCACAGCCTAGGTGTGGAGTAGGCTATGCCTTCTAGGTCTGTGTAAATCCACTCTAGAATGTTCACATGAGAAAATCACCCAATGACACATTCCTCAGAACACATCCTTGTTAAGCAACACAAGACTATTTTTAGCACAAGCTTTTAAATGTCTAGTTTTATGAGCAAGGGTAGGCAAGAAAAATGTCCTCAGTCTGGGATATTAAAACACTGAGATTTTCAGCAGAACAGAAATTCTAGTCAACCAAACATGTGGTGGGCAGGGGGGAAACCACTGGGATAAACAAATTAACTTTGAGACAGAGTCCAGGTCTGGTGCCCAGGCTGGAGTGCAATGGCTCAATGTCTGCTCACTGCAACCTGCGCCTCCCTCCTGGGTTCAAGTGATTGTCCTGCCTCAGCCTCCCGAGTAGCAGGGATTACAGGCGCATGCCACCAGACCCTGCTAATTTTTGTATTATAGAGATGGGGTTTTACCATATTGGCCAGGATGGTCTGGAATTCCAGACTTCAGTTGATCCACCCGCCTCCGCCTCACGAATTGCTAGAATTACAGGAGTGAGCCACCATGCCCAGCAAATTAACGTAGCTTTTAAGAAAGTATAACAAAACAGGCTAGTTTGTTTCATCTGCAGCAAGATCAGACAAGAAAAAATATGATTTCTGCATGGTCACTTCTACTGTTAAAGATTCTTTGAGACAGAATCTCACTCTGCTGTACAGGCTGGAATGCAGTGGCATGATGACGGCTCACTGCAGCCTCAACCTCCCAGGCTGGAGTCATCCTCCCATCTCTGCCTCTGGAGTAACCACAGCTACAGGTGTGCACCACTCACCTAGCTCAAAGTTTTTGGGTAGAAACAGGGTCTGACTGTGTTGTCCAGGCTGGTCTCAAACTCTTGGGCTCAAACGACCCTCCCACCTTGGCCTCCCAAAGTGCTGGGATTACAGGTAGGAGCCACCACGCCTGGCCCTGTTTCTACTAGTTTCATCACTAGATGTGTGAGCCTAACCCAACTGTCCTCAGAGGAGGCAATATATTTATCTCATTTCCGTTAATTCCACACAATTCCAAGCTTTAAACACACCCAGCAGCTTGCACCCAAATGTTTTGCTTGTATTCTCCTCTTCCCCTTCCTTCTCATGGAAGATCATCCAGCTTGGTAGAGAGAATCCAAAGCAGTGCCTCCCCACACTATGCTCTGCCAGGGTGGCAGGTGCCCAAGGGACAGCTGCCTCCAGCCTAGAGCAGCCCTAAGCATCTTCCATGTGGCGGTCAGGAAAAAGGTTGGAAACAACACATTTAAACCTCAGGAACTTCTGGACTCTCCGTCACCCTAGTGACAGACAAGGGAAAATGGACAACACCATACTGAAAAAAAAAAAAAAAAAAAAAATCCATGACACAAAAAAGCAATCATCTAACCACATCTGTTCAAAGTTTACAACGCAGAGAGAAGCCAATCAGTGCTTTGCTTCTTAACTATCAACCACATTCAACAAAGGTATAAAACGTAATTACTTTATTGATTTCTTACAATCAAATACTGCCAACTAGCATTACTCCCACTCTTGCATCATTAAAAACACAGGGTATTTCCTCCTTGGTATTTTCAAATGATGCATTATACAATAAACAAAGTTAGAACTTAAAATGCACCCTGATTAATTATGTAAACTGGTAATTTGTTTAAAAAAGCATAATAATTTGGTTCCTTTCTTCATAAAATGGAAATTTAAATATCTCTCCTGATAGTCTTGAGGTTATCATCATGAGTAGTGCAAAGTGTGGCACATATAGTTTCATCTAGAAGGGTGTGTATCTTACACACCTCATTTAAACAAACAAAATGTGCATTAACAAAACGCACACAGTCAATGCATGATAGAAAGCTTGTTTCAAATAGAGGGCAGCCCCTCGGGCCACCGTATTATTTAAGTTTTGCATTATCATTTACGGCATTAGAGATTAATTACGCATAACATACTTTTAAACATTTTAACCCTGAAGATAAGAAAAATAATTGTTGCTTGAAAAAAATTATTCCAGGTAGCCATTTGGTTTGTATCAGGAGAAAGTGAACCCTCCATGAGTTTAGTGTCTGCCAAGTCGGAATCATTAGCACAAGTCAGTGAATCATTACGAGACACATTTCACAGTGACTGTTTCCCAAGTCCTGGCAATGCCTCTTCTCTCACAGTCCGCCAGATGACGAAGCATTTCCGGGATGACCCTTCTATGTGGTTTTTCCCTTTTCAGTTTTTTTGCTGGATTAACTATTACTGCATTATTTCCTCTTCTCCCCTCCTCTTCTGTGGCCTTCCATTTCAATTATTCATAAATCCTTTCAGAATATCCTCAGAGAGCTCCATAAGGGGAAGTTCTGGAGATGGAAAATCCAAGGGAGGAAGATTGGGGATTGGAATGTCCTTGGCTTTCCCGGTATTTGCTGCAAACTTCTGCCAGGTTGAGGAGGCTGTAGCAGTTTCTGAATGTGGTGGCAAGCTCCATAACTCTGACGTTTCTACAAAATCAGCATCTACATCCAGCTCCTTTTCTATTGGACCTTTTAGAAGTCTGGCCATTTCAGCCTTTAGTTGTTTATTTTCCTTCCTTAATCTTTCATTCTCAGCCACAAGGAATTCCACATGCCTCTTCAAATCTGCAATTTTGGTTGCCTGCTCCTCTATAATTGTTTTATCATCTTTTGGGGCTTTGCTTCCAATACATGGCTCCACTGGCTCACTCTTTTGCTGAAGTAAATACAGTAGTGTATCTGGATCCCTGTCAAAGATCCCCTGAATCTCAGGCAGGCGTTTCTCTGTGGAAGGGGGGTACTTCTGGGAAAGGGGGCTCTGGCCCTCTGCATCCTCTGCAGAGGGTTTGTGAGATGCCTGAAGATGGGCAGCTACATCCTTGTCGGTGTTCTGCTGGGCTTTCAATCTTTCTTCACGCTGGGCCCTTTTCCATCTCTCTTGGATGAGGAGGAGCTGTTTCATGTGGCTATCCCTTTGCAGTTCTAGTGAAAGATGAGCCTATTACACAGAAGGAAAGGTAAAATTTGAAGAATTTAACACTTTAAGTGTCTTTTAGTAATGTCCAACATATACTACTACAAATTCCTCCTTTCTGAATAAACCAACAACACTTACAACTTACATGTATGTTTGCAATTGAATAAAACTTAACATTTTCCTCAATGTGCCTGACCCCATGTGTAATGTCATTTGTACTCAACTTAAAATTAGAAATCTTTCCTCTGTAGACATATTAATTCTACCAAGAGCTAGAAAGAAAGTCTTTCTATCAACAGGATGTTTGGACAGCTCTATACAAGCCTGTATCATGAGCAGATTCTATACTTTCAAAGGCAGTGAAAGGGATAGAACACAACTTTAAAGTCCCCTTCATTCAGTCTGAGAAACTAATGGCTTTCCCTGCCGCTGATATACCTCACAGAAATGGTCTCTTTAACTGATACTTTTATAATAAAGTTTTTAAGAAGGTATTTTGTGTATATTTATTTTAGAGACAAGGTCCCTGTTGCTGAGGCTGAAGTGCAATGACACAGTCATAGCTCACTCAAGCCTTGAACTTAGGTGTTCAAGTGATCCTCCCACCTCATCCTCCCAAGTAGCTAGAACTACAAGCATGTGCCACCATGCCCAGCTAATTTTTAAAAGTTTTGTAGAGATGGAGTCTCACTATGTTGCCTAGGCTGGTCTTGAACTCCTTGCCTCAAGTGATCCCCCTGTCTTGGCCTCCAAAAGCACTGAGATTACAGGCATGGGCCACCATGCCCAGTCTTATGAATAAATGTATCTTGAAATACTTGGCAGGTCCTCCTTAAACACAGAAGACAACTTAAAACAATTGATGAGGCCGGGCGTAGTGACTCATGCCTATAATCCAAGCACTTTGGAGGCCAAGGCGGGCGGACCACCTGAGGTTAGGAGTTCAAGACCAACCTGACCAACATGGTGAAACCCCGTCTATTTAAAAAAAAAAAAAAAAAAATTGATGAAGCAAATTTAAAAGTACCTGAACTGCTTAAGAATTCGAGCAAAGATTTAAAAAAATATAAAAAATTAAAAAATTAAAAATAAAAAGAATTCAAGCAAAGACAAGTGAGGGGCTGGTCAGATTCAAATTATCTTTCACAAGCAAACAGTAGTCCAACTGGTTTCCTCTTGGCCAGGCCTGTTTACTGACTGTGAGCTAATGATCATGTAAGAGCTAATGATCAGGGGTCCTAAGAGGGCTCTCTAAAAGATACATCTGGGCAATCTGTGAGTAACCACTAGAAAAAAAGAAGTTTCTGCATTCTATGTCTGGGACATCGACTGCAGTTCATTTAGTTTTAATTTCCTTTCTGAAGTACTCTTCCCTTGCCCATTTTATGTATGTTTGACTATAGCATTTTGAGAGGGACACAATACTTTGCTTTATACACAATTCAAGTCTCTACAAGAAAACCTTTCTAACCATTGTTGCAAATATTAGGAACATGTCTCACCTGCTCAGATTGTGTCAGCTTCATGGCTTCAGAAAGATATGCTGTTTAAAAAAAAAAAAGACATGTTAATATGTGTCATCATTTTGTAATTAACAGGTAAAAGGAAGAGTTTTAATAGTCCTCATATGACAACGAAAACCAGTCTAATAAATAATTCTGCTATAACTGGGGATTTTTTTTAAAAAAGCATTTTTTCCCCAAAAAGGTGTCAGTGGCAATAAAATGAAAAATTCCCTACCCATTCTTGAAGGTTTTGTTATTTAAAACTCCTGTAGATTTTATAATTCAGAAACTGAAGATGGCCTAATGAGAAAAATAGGTTTACGGAAGATTAAAATCAAACAAGAACCTATCAAAACCCTATTACTCATTGTACTCACAAAAATATCATGAGATTATCAATGACTTTGTATCCATCTGAATACCTGGAACCTATCATTTTGGACTCCTATAGAATCACTTTTAATGAATACTGTCTCTGAGCCAGGCCATCAGCTTTAGGGTTAAAATCCCTAAGAACTTGTTGACATATTTACTGTGAGGAAGTTATTGAGGACAGTATAATGTCACTTATGAAAAACTTCAATAAACCTCTCTCTGATCTTAGAATCAGATCCTCGGTGACCATTTGTTCGAATTTTAATAGCCAATGTAAAAATTCTTACTTTCCCTCTTTAGGATGACTGCTAGAAAACATAAGGCAAGTTCTTTTATAAAAAAAAAAAAAAAAAAAAAAAAAAAAAAAAAGAAGCCGGAACTAATGGTACATTTTGTGAACCATATTACTAGTCATTGCCCATTTTCTCTATGGATTTCCTTATCTATGTATCTCTCATTACATTTGATATTTTGTTATACATTCCTCTTTAAGACATTCTGTAGCCTTTCTAGAACAAGGTTAGGTATAAATAACAAGTTCTGCATCACTAATAAAGAATTGTCCATAATGAATTTCCATGTTTATCTTGCTTGCTATAAACATTTTTGGCATCTCTCATCCCTACATTAAGTTCCTCTTTCGCCTTTCTGCAGATACTACAAGGCATTGCTTTCTGTCCAGTCTTGATCCAAATAATTTAGTAATTTTGATGTCGTAACTTAAGAGTTCTTGCCTGCTAGGTTCTACCGTAGTCCTTGAGGTAGAGATTAATTACATCAGGGGTCCCAAACCCCCAGGCTGGTACTGGTCTGTGGCTTGTTAGGAACTGGGCCACACACACAGCCAGTGATCAGCAGGCAAGCCAGCGAAACTTCATCTGTATTTACAGTTGCTCCCACTGCTTGCATTACCGCCTGAGCTACGCCTCCCATCAGATCAGCAGCAGCATTAGAGTCTCATAGCAGAGCAAACCCTACCGTGAACTGCACATGCAAGGGATCTCGGTTGTGTTTTCCTTATAATAATGTAATGCCTGATGATCTGTTACAGTCTCCCATCATGCCCAGATGGGACTGTCTAGCTGCAGGAAAACAAGCTCAGGGCTCCTACTGATTGTACATTATGGTGAGTTCCCCACCCCAGGTCTGAGGAAAACTGTCTTCCACAAAATTGGTCCCTGGTGGCAAAAAGGTTAGGACTGCTGAAATACATGCTCCCTCTGCAAGAAAAGAGAGGAGGGGGCCAGGCATGGTGGCTAGCACTTTGAGAGGCTGAGGCTGAAGGACTGCTTGAGCCCAGGAGTTCGAGACTAGCCTAGGTAACAAAGCAAGACCCTGTATGAAGTTAAAAAGATTTAAAAAAAAAAGAAAGAGTTGGTCAAATAGTCTTTGCTCCAGTCATGCTTACCATAAATAATTACATTCGCTCCGCAACCTTCTCTCATCTTTCATTCCTATACTAAGTCTGTATAGCTGCATACTATTTATTTTCCTTTTGTTCATATTTAAATCTGTGGAGACATTCTAACTGCTCTGCTCATGTTCCAATACATTGTTAATAAATGTTCTCAGACACTCCTTCCAACTTGCCTGCATTTGTCTCCCTGTTTGCTTTAAATCCACTTTCTTAACAAAGGGAACAGATTTCACAAAACCAAGCTTAAGCCAACTGAAGTGCCTCCCTTTGTAAAACCTTGAATATATGAAAGGCTGGGTACGGTGGCTCATGCCTGTAATCCCAGCATTTTGGGAGGCCACGTCGAGTGGATCATGAGGTCAGGGATTTGAGACCAGCCTGAAATCCCGTCTCCACTAAAAAAAAAAAAAAATACAAACAAATTATTTGGGTGTGGTGGCATGTGCCTGTAATCCCAGCTACTCAGGAGGCTGAGGCAGGAGAATCGCTTGAACCTGGGAGATGAGAGGCTGCAGTGAGCCAGGGAGATCACATCACTGCACTCAAGCCTGGGTGACAGTGCGAGACTCTGTCTCAAAAAGAAAAAAAAAAAAAATGTCTATGACAAAGGAAGTTACCAAAGGATAACCCAAAGCACAAAGAATTCAACAAGAACCACACTGTCATTTAAAGTACTCCCCATGTTTAAATCTTATAAATGGTGCATTTTAAAGTTATTTTTAAAGAAAAAATTATTTTAAATCTGATTCCATGTTCATGGATTTCCTCCACAGATTTACAATAGAAACTAAAGTATAGCAACACAGAAATTTAGAAAGTGTTTATCTCAAAAACTGCTAACAATTCTGGTTAAACTACTTCCTTTAATTATGACACAAGGCTAAAATTTAAAGTAGATATTAAGCAAGTGATAGAATAAAGGAACTAAGGAAATATCAAGAATGTCTTAAAATAACAACATCTGGCCAGGCACAGTGGCTCACGCCTGTAATCCCAACACTTTGGGAGGCCGAGGCGGGCAGATCACTTGAGGTTAGGAGTTTGAGACCAGCCTGGCCAACAAAGTGAAATGCCATCTCTACTAAAAAATACAAAAATTAGCTGCGTATGGTGGTGCATGCCTGCAGTTCCCAGCTACTCCGGAGACTGAGGCAGGAGAATCGCCTGGGCCTGGAGGCAGAGGTTGCAGTGAGCTGAGATCATGCCACTGGACTGCAGCCTGGGCAACAAAGCAAGACTCCATCTCATCAGTGGTGGGCAAAAAAAAAAAAAAAAAAAAAAAAAAAAAAAAGACTCCATCTCAAAAAAACCCAAAAAACAAACAAAAAAATAACATCTGTTGCTCTTCTATCAGGAATCTGTTAAACCAGTACCAAAGCACACAGGTGCAGCAATATACTGCCTCTGAATGATAAGGATTGATCAGATCTAGAATCATTTTCATGTTACCACAGTTTCAAAAGGCTTAACATTTGTTTTCAACCAAAGTATTGATCAAATCCATACAAATACTCTGACTCTGGGGCCTGATCATCTGAAATGTTCATTTTGAGTTCTAAGCACTGTCAACGGCTATTAACTTGTTTAAGCTTTTGCTCTTTTGTGGTGTATGAATGAAGAGAAATTCACTTAGGAAACTGGACTGCATGAGAAGGGTTAAGAGAAAATTACACCAATCAAGTTACAGCCACTAATCAAGGGTTTAAAGCAATACATTTTTCCAACAATGTTGAATCTCTGGGAGTCTGTGGCTTCTTAAACTTACCTTTTTAAACATGGAATAGGAAAATGTAGGCACCTTCCCTTCCCCACCTCCTGCCAGATTTAGACAGTTTTTTTCCTTACTGATGTGCTTATGTGGCATGAATGCTCACATGTCCAGTTTCAATTAATTTCAGCCACTGTCCACCTAAAGAGTAAATTCTACCTTTCCTCAAAAGGAAAGAGACATCAAGCAACACATTTATAATACAAACACTACAAAGAGGCCATAAAGTCCTTAGGTATGTAATCTTAGGGTAAGTTTTTAGTCTCAGAATCTCCTCTGATCTTTGACAGCTGGACACACAGGCCACCTCTGTTTGCCCTTAAATTCTCTCACTTCAGCCTTTCCATCTTATCAGTCTCTCAGATATTGATCTTTCCTTGTAACATCTCTAAAATGATTTCCAAATAAGTTGCTTCCTTTCAGAATACACCTATATCCATACCTTCTAAGACCAGTTATAAGCTCTAGATGTAAATCAGTTTCAAAAAGTGAGCTCATTTCAACCACATCAATTTTCAACTCAGACATTCTGAAACATAACACACGTGGAAACCCCCAATCAAACCAGTGGGATTTACTAATCACATTAAGTTCTACCTCCATAATTGAAGCTAATGTGATCTAACAGACTGCCTTATTTTTCTACTCCTGAGAATGTCACAGAATTTAGACGGTGGGGGAGGGGGGCGAGAGAGGTACCTGAAGGCCAACATTAGTTTTAAGTCTTCAAAGACAAGGATTAGGCGAGGACTACAACTTTCTTCCCTTTATATACTCATAACATCCCATAGCTCAGTACATAAAATATGCTAATTTACTCCACTTAACATAGTTATACATATGTAACCATGACCATTTTGGGTTACATAAGGTATTGTTTCACTGGGGCATTCATATAAAATATGACTTAAATAAACACAGTACATTGTCTTTGTAGTGATGATAGATTTAATCAGACTCATAACAAAATATGGTTTAGGGAAGATTTAAAGAGCACTAGTTGACATATTTAATGCTGTTCAAAGCTCTCATAAAGCACACCATAAAAACACCCAAAGAGACTGGACGCGGTGGCTCACGCCTGTAATCCCAGCACTTTGGGAGGCCGAGCTGGATCACCTGAGGTCAGGAGTTCAAGACCAGCCTGGCCATCATAATGAAACCCCATCTTAAAGGGGGAGAAAAAAAAAACAAAAAAACACAGATCAATGCTATCCCCATCAAGCTACCAATGACCTTCATCACGGAATTGGGAAAAAAAACACCTTAAACTTCATATGCAACCAAAGGAGAGCCCGTACAGCCAAGTCAATTCTAAGCAAAAAGAACAAAGCAGGAGGCATCACACTACCTGACTTCAAACTAAACTACAAGGCTACAAACAAATCAAAACAGCATGGTACTGGTACCAAAACAGAGATATAGACCAATGGAACAGAAGAGAGGCCTTGGAGGCAACACATCGTATCTACAACCATCCAATCTTTGACAAACCTGACAAAAACAAGCAATGGGGAAAGGATTCCCTGTTTAATAAATGGAGTTGGGAAAACTGGCTAGCCATGTGCAGAAAGCAGAAACTGGACCCCTTCCTGACACCTTACACTAAAATTAACTCCAGATGGATTAAAGACTTAAACATCAGACCTAACACCATAAAAACCCTAGAAGAAAATCTAGGCAAAACCATTCAGGACACAGGCATAGGCAAGGACTTCATGACCAAAACACCAAAAGCATTGGCAACAAAAGCCAATATAGACAAATGGGACCTAATCAAACTCCACAGCTTCTGCACGGCAAAACAGTCATTAGAGTGAATCGGCAACCAACAGAATGGGAAAAAATTTTTGCAGTTTACCCATCTGACAAAGGGCTTATATCCAGAATTTATAAAGAGCTAAAACAGGTTTACAAGAAAAAAACAAACAGGCCCATTCAAAAGCGGGCAAAGGATATGAACAGACACTTTACAAAAGAAGACATACATGAGGCCAACAAACATATGAAAAAATGCTCATCATCACTGGTCATCAGAGAAATGCAAATCAAAACTACATTGATATACCATCTCACGCCAGTTAGAATGGCGATTATTAAAAAATCTGGAGACGGCCGGGCACGGTGGCTCACGCCTGTAATCCCAGCACTTTGGGAGGCCGAGGCGGGCGGATCACGAGGTCAAGAGATCGAGACCATTCTCGACATGATGAAACCCCCTTCTCTACTAAAAATAGAAAAATTAGCCGGGTGTGATGGCACGCGCCTGTAGTCCCAGCTACTCGGGAGGCTGAGGCGGAAGAATCGCTTGAACCCAG